TAATTACCCCTGTAAAAGGTGTTATAGAAGGCTGTTGGAAAAACCGGACAAAGCACTATGATGAAATATAATCTCACCACTATCATATCGGCTAAGAGTCCTTGGGGTTTAACCACATGTGGAAAGGTGATGTAGAAATATTGGTTGAATCCAATTTTTCTATGCAGTAAATATCTCAAAGCTGACAATCATCATCATTATCATCATTTCACTTTGAACCTGATAGATTAGATATAGTGACTAAACAATACTACAGATGCAATAGCTGTGAAGATGGTATAAACTCTTCACCAGCTCAGTACAGGGAAAGCATGCAGTAAATACTGAAAGCAGTTTTAAAGGGCAGTAATTAAGGATAATCAGGAACTATAATTCCTAGCAGTAATACATTTAAATTGATTTATTATTCCTGTAGTAAATATCTCAAAACTGACAATTATCATCACCATGATCATTTCACTTGAACCTGATAGAATAGATATAGTGACAAAGCTATACTACAGATGCAATACGTGCAAAGATAAAGATACCCTTCACTAGGTCAGTACTAGAAAAAGCATACACTAGAATTTTAAAATAAGGGCAGTAATTGAGGGTAATTAGGAACACTAATCCCGAATAGCGAAGTTAGATTTTAGTGATTCATTTAAAAGTTGAATGAAAAATGATACTTGATGTTCCATAAAGTATCATTTTGTTAAAAGGCGGGAGGATGTAATGACCCTGCTTTGCATGGTCCTCACGATTACATAGTGGCAAGCAGAAAGTCCGTGCAACAAGGGACAGCACGAGATACTTGTGCCTAGTCGAGGAAGCGAGGGAAAGCCCGAGCTAGCCTCGTGGTCAGTCGATCATCAGAAGTTAGAGAAGACGGTTGTAGTATTTGAAGATGTCGTCTTTATGTTGCGCAAATGTTTAATGTTCGAATAGGTCGCGAGTGATAAAGTGTGAATAATGTTTGAACATGTGAAATAAATGGACCAGAATAAACTGACAGAATGTACCAAGAAGCTGAGCGGCGTTTGTGTTGTCAAATCTAGACGTTAAAGTAGTGCAAGTTGTGTAGCAGTAACATCCAGAGAGTGAGCCGTGGCTAAAGCCAATAAGTAGTAAGCCAAAGCGCAGTCCAAGTCAAGCCAAGGTTTATTACAATTACCTACTTCTGGCATGTGTGCAATGTTCTTGTCCTACTCATTAACCACTTCTGGCATGTGTGGAATTTTCTTGTCCTACTCACTAATCACTTCTGGCATGTGTGGAGTGTTCTTGTCCTACTCACTAACCACTTCTGGCATGTGTGTAATGTTCTTGTCCTACTCATTAACCACTTCTGGCATGTGTGGAATGTTCTTGTCCTACTCATTAACCACTGCTGGCATGTGTGAAATGTCTTTGTCCTACTCACTAACCACTTCTGGCATGTGTGGAATGTCCTTGTCCTACTCACTAACTACTTCTGGCATGTGTGGAATGTTCTTGTCCTACTCACTAACCACTTCTGGCATGTGTGGAATGTCCTTGTCCTACTCACTTACCACTTCTGGCATGTGTGGAATGTCCTTGTCCTACTCACTAACCACTTCTGGCATGTGTGGAATGTCCTTGTCCTACTCACCAACCACTTCTGGCATGTGTGGATGAGGATTTGAACTAAAAACGTTAAGACTGAAAGGCAAGCATGTCTACTGCAGTATTATATTATATTTGATAAATGTTGTGAACCGAAGACCGTGTAAGTTTATTGATAGATATTGAATGGTGGGCCACAGCAGATTCTATAGCTTGAACAGGGCAGGGAAGACGATATATATCACATGACATCAAGGATAAGGACAACTATCACATGACATCAAGGATAATGACAACTATTACATGACATCAAGGATAAGGACAACTATTACACGGCAGCAAGGGAAGATAATTATCGCATGATATCAAGGGAAAGGACAAATATCACACAGCAACAAGTGAAGACAAGTATCATTATATTATCGTTGTGTTGATTCCAGGGCCCATTGTGGGAAATACAAGAACAGACAACCTGCCTCCCCAACAAGCATGTCATAAGAGTCGACTAATCTGGGGTTTCCTTCAGTCAGAGTGTATCTCTCTGAGAGGCAAGGAACCAGTAGTCTGCATACAGATAAGTCAGATCTGTAAAATGGATGTGCACGCATGACTCAGGTTCTGAAACAAGTCTAAATGAGAGAGGTGGATGAACAACCATAACTTTTCACCGGAGTTTACAACCAGTAATCAAGAAGAAGAAAAATAAGTAGAAAAAGATGCAGAAGAAGACATAACAAAACATGTCACATGACATCAAGAGAAGATTACAAAAACCACACGATATATTGGTGAGACTAAAAATATCACATTACATCAAGACAAGACAACAAATATAGGATGACATCAACAACTTTACTAAAACATTAAAAAAAAAACAGTGTTAAAACAACTGTTTAACATTACAGGCACGGATGAAATCACTTAATTGTAGGTGTATTGTAATGATCATTCTCTGTTGGTTACTGGGTCACTGCAAAACTCTAAGCCAATTCCACCACTACAGGCTAACCCAGATCCTCGTCAGTACAAGTGATTCCACAATTCCTGGCTTAAAGAGTCGTAAATGTAAATAACGATCTAGAAACGTCATGAGTTAATCATTTTTAAAGATAGTATATGGGCTCGCTAAATTTTTCGCTCAAATTCTAACCCTCACAGCCCCCCTCCCCCACCCTCACAGCCCCTCCTCCACCCTCACAGTCCCCCTCCCCCACCCCCACCCCCCCCCCCCAATAAAGTTATCATTCTATGTTATGGTGGAATGTCATGGACAAGAGTACACAGCCAACTATCTGCCTAGGATTTAAAAAGGGCAAGGTAAAGGAGTCGGGAGATGTGAACTAGCGTCATTGCACGCAGTTATAAAGCATAAGTGCTCTGCCACCAGTACGGACAGCTGAGGAGAATCTGTCTGCCTGTGTCGCCGTCCGCACGTAACACTGTAGCTACAGCCACATTCCTCTATTTACCCCATAGAATTAGCTCTGGTACCCATTTCCCAGAGGCTGAGTGAACTCCGGGAGCTGCCCGGTTTCGAACACCGACGGTGGCTGCAGCGAGTCGCAGCTGGATTTGAAAGCGAGCATCGTATCGGCTGCGCTAACGCAGCCACTTCTAGGATCTCAAAAGCCATGACTCATGTATAATTACTGTCACACTAAAATTACTGTCACAACAAAATTACTGAAACAACAATTTTAACACAAATTAGTTATCATTTACGAAATCTGTATAATTCCTTTACATAGATCAAGTTAAATGTGTATACAGTCTCTATATTAGATTCATGATAGAGACGTTTGTGAAACCTCTGCCTGGCCATCCACAGAGTCTCTCCTTGCTTCACAAATACACACAAGACCGTGTTAATTGCCTGCCACATTGACCACAAGTTTGCCCAGGGTGCCGGAGTTGTTGATGACGTCAGTGTGAGCCTGTGCCACATCTTCCAGCCGGTATTCTTTGGCCACAACTGGAACCAGCCAGCCCACCTTCTGCCCTGCATTAAGAGCCGCCTTGATCTCCGTCCATTCGCTTTCCTGTGCAAACATAAAACAAAAGTAATAACAATGAACATGTATGTCATTAATCTCTGCACACGTTCAACCCAGAGTATCTAACTAGGTCAGAAGGTTGATCCTATTTATTGAGAAAGCTTTCTATTTTCTGAGACATATTGGTCTACTGGGTAAATAGTTCTAACTCTATATTTAGACAGACAAGTTAGCGTTCGATGTTCCAAGAAGGATCTAGTTAGTATAAGCCGATCACGCCTTTGATTGCGACTTCCCACACAATGTTTGGCTATTGATTATAAGCTGTGTTACCTCTTAGAGGTGAGGTTTTTTGTACGATAGTCTGGTTTGATGGCTACTGGGTCACTGCCATGAGAATTCAGCACTTTTTAACAACAAGAACGATATTTGGAAGAATGCAAAGACAGGGAAAGATAGCGAGAATTATCTGGACATCATTTGATCATGGCATATTCAATTGAGACACTGTTGTTGACGGTGCACTGGAGAGTTTTGGTATCCAAATCAGCTAGTGAGGCACTGAACGTCTAGTGGACTTGGGCAACATCTTTCTGATGTGCAGAACGGTGCCCTGTGCATTGTTATTCTCAGAGTCACTGAGGTGTCTTCCATGTGGAGGTTCGAGTCATCAAGTCCAACCATTCCAATGACAACGTCGGTTCTGATACTGATAGCGATGAACGAAAGTCAAATACAAACACTTGCTTGTCTATCTTGAAACTAATGAGCTCCAGCTGTTCTCTCTATGTCTGTATAGCCTGAGTTTCGCTCGGGCTGAATTTACTTCCAAAACATTTCCAGGTACTCTTTTAAGGGTGTTTTTTTTGGGGGAGGGGGGAGGGGGTGGACGATGTAGGAAGCTGGAATCAACCTAAGATAAAGATTAAAATACCACAAACATCGCTGTAAACTTACATTTGCAAGGTAGAAAACCCCGCACCCAACAACTGTGGATTCCTTCACCATTGACTTGTTTGGGCTGATTTCAACATTTCCCCTGCTCCCAACAATCTGTACACAAATACGTGATTTTTTGAAAGTAACCAATTGTTTATCTGTTGTCAGCGTGTATTGTCAACACAAATGTCAGTCTGTGTTGTCCAGACAGGTGTCAGGGAGTGTTGTGAACACAAATGTCAGGGTGTGTTGTGAACACAAATGTCAGGGTCTGTTGTGAACACAAATGTAGGGCTGTGTTGTGAACACAAATGTCAGGGTCTGTTGTCGACACAAATTTCAGGCTGTGTTATCAACGCTAATGTCATGCTGTGTTGTTAATATAAATGACAGGGTGTGTTGTCAACACAAATGTCAGCCTGTGTTGTCAACACAAATCAGAGTATTACAAGTGAAAGGAGTTTATGTGATCAGGTATGGAAATGGGAGGAGTGGGGCAGGATGATGCTGGGAAAAATGGTGTGGGGACATTGAACAAATTAGTTGAAAACCACAAATGAGGTTTGAATTAGGAGTGTTATCTTGAATTCTAAAATTGGAAAGGATGTTCAACAACAGAAGAATCAAATTTTTATAAACAGTGACTAGTGAAGAAGAATGGTCTTTTAAACAGAAGAAATAAATAAACGTAAAGTATTTTTGGTGCAACAGAGACAGGACAACTGGTCTGTGATCTACACATGACAGCAACAGAGACAAAAGAACGGGTCTATTGACTGCACACGACAGCAACAGAGACAAGTCAATTTGTCTCTGATTTACACATGAAAATAGCACCGACAAGACAACTAGCCCGTGACTTACGTATCACAGGAACGTACACAAGACATCTGGTCTAAGATTCACCAATGACACTAACAGAAACAAGACAAATGGTCTATGACTTACACACGACAACAACAGAGACAAGATAAGACCACTGGTATAGATTTACACATGCAACAACATAGTACATCTAGTTTTTGATCTACTCACGACAGCAACAGAGACAACACAACTTGTCTATCATTTACACATGACAACATCATGGACAAGACAACTGGTCTATGACTTGCACATGACAACAACAGAGACAAGACAACTAGTCTATGACTTGCACATGACAACAACAGAGACAACACAACTTGTCTATGACTTGCACATGACAACGACAGACACAAGACAACTGGGATCTGATTACGCATGACAGCAACATAGACAACACAACTTATCTATCATTTACACATGACAACATCATGGACAAAACAACTGATATGTGACTTGCACATGACAACAACAGAGAAAAGACAACTGTCTATGATAACGCACGACAACAACAGAGACAGGATGACTGGTCTTCGATTTACACAAAAGTAAGAGAGACAGGACAACTGTTTTATGATTACATATGACAGCAAGAGAGACAAAACAACTGGTCTATGATTTACATTGAGCAGCAACAGGTGACCCATGAGGTGACCCATTTCATTTTCTTGGTGTAGCTTTATGTGTAAATACAGTTAGCCTGGGCAGTCACCAAACAGCCTACAGACATAGTTTGTCGTATTGAAAACCCCGAGGATTCAGCAAACATTTTTGATACTACCGTCCGTTGTTACCCAACAACCAACCCATACAACCCCCCCCCCCCTCGTCTCCCACCCCGGGGTGACGTGTGTAAATGTTAAGTCTATGTAATACTCTTTCTTTTGTGGCCTGTGGAACTACCATCCCCAAAATCTGTAGTACAGAACAACGATCTCCAAAAGTTGTAGTACAGAACTACCATCCCCAAAATCTGTAGTAAAGAACTACCATCCCCAAAAGCTGTAGTACAGAACTACCATCCCCAAAAGCTGTTGTACAGAACTACCATCCCCAAAATATGAAGTACAGAACTACCATCCCCAAAAGCTGTAGTACAGAACTACCATCTCCAAAAGCTGTTGTACAGAACTACCATCCCCAAAATATGGAGTACAGAACTACCATCCCCAAAATATGGAGTTCAGAACTACCATCCCCAAAATATGGAGTACAGAACTACCATCCCCAAAATATGGAGTACAGAACTACCATCCCCAAAATATGGAGTTCAGAACTACCATCCCCAAAATATGGAGTACAGAACTACCATCCCCAAAATATGGAGTACAGAACTACCATCCCCAAAATATGGAGTACAGAACTACCATCCCCAAAATATGGAGTACAGAACTACCATCCCCAAAATATGGAGTACAGAACTACCATCCCCAAAATATGGAGTACAGAACTACCATCCCCAAAATATGGAGTACAGAACTACCATCTCCAAAATATGGAGTACAGAACTACCATCCCCAAAATATGGAGTACAGAACTACCATCCAAAAAATCTGTAGTAAAGAACTACCATCCCCAAAAGCTGTAGTACAGAACTACCATCTCCAAAAGCTGTAGTAAAGAACTACCATCCCCAAAAGCTGTGGTGCAGAACTACCATCCTCAAAAGCTGTGGTACAGAACTACCATCCCCAAAAGCTGTGGTACAGAACTACCAGTTCCTCAAAAGCTGTGTAGCAGAAATACTAGTTCCCCAAAAGCTGTGTGGCAGAACTACCAGTTCACCAAAAGCTGTGTGGAAGAACTCTACTCTACTGGCCGGGGTATTTGTTTCTCTCTAGGATCTTTGGCCATAGGATTATCACCTCAAGTACGAGAATCAAACGGGAGCAAAACCCAAAAAGCCTTTCTAACCACATAATACAGTTAGACTACTGCAAATTTACCTGCAGCCCAGTGTGGATAAGAGATATACTGGAACCTGATCTGTGCACCCGCAAAAGGGTATGCTGGCCCTTGTAACTCAGCCACTCAGTGACTAGAAGAAATGTCTCAAGTGTCCAGTCTGTGAGGAAGAGAGATGTCTCAAGGTTTGGGCCAGTGTCCAGTCAGTGGCAAGAAGAGATGTCCCAAGTTTTTTTTTTCTCCCTTAGTGGCTAGAAGATATTTATCAAGTTCTTGGTCAGTGTCCAGTCATTGGCTAGAAGAGATGTCTCATGGGTTTGGACAGTGTTCATTCTGTGGGTAGAAGAGATGACTCAAAGTTTTGGCAGTGTCCAGTCAGTGGATAGAAGAGATGTTTCAAGGTTTTGGTCAGTGTTCAGTCAATGGCTAGAAGAGATGTCTAAAGGTTTGACACAGTGTCCATCTGTGGGTAGGAGAACTGTCTCAGAGTCTAGGCCAGTGTCCAGTCTGTGGTTAGAAGAGATGTCTCAAGGTCTTGGCCAGTGTCCTGTCTGTTCCCAATCTCCAGACGGCAAGTGTTCGAATTACTCGACTGAGTTACTTCCCATAGGATCACGCAGCAAGTGGAAGTTACAAAACTGAGTTACTTTCCTTGGGGCCAGACAGCAAGTGAAAGAAGCCACGCTGAGTGACATAACACCCACTTCACCCACTTGGCACTTTAGCTAAATGGTTATGCAGTTGTCTGTGGGGGTTTCTTTGCAGTCTACCTCTATTGCAGAGACGGGATCTAATTGATGGGTCGCTTTACCTAATCTGTGGCACTGTGTTCCTTAGCTGCTGTGAATCAGAAACAATAATACACTCACTGACCACACATTTAAACTCAGGCACCTAGAAAAAAAATAGTAGTCCGCTACGATGAGATTCAACTCTTACCACAACGCGGCCCCTGAAGGCGACGATGTCCAAGTCCTTGTCCAGGTTGACATTGGCCAACATCTCCAGGATCACGTCCACGCCCTTTCCACCTGTGGCCTCCTGTCGAGATAGAGAAGTGAAAGAAGTGAAGTCTAGAGATATACCTCTGTAGTGGGTACATTCTTACGTAGACTTAAATGAGCTTAGAAAATGAAGTCTTTGAACAAAGTTACAGTCTCTGTATCAGCAAAACACCAAACACTTTGATAAAGCAACCAGAAATAGTAGCTAACGTGCTCCGCGCTGTTGAAATCTGACATGTGACAGTGACGAGAGTTCGTTAGCCAATAGTATACTGACGTCATCAGGACAAGTCAGTCTGTCACAAAGATAAAGCTATACGTAGAGTTGCTAAGGTGTCATTCAAATGTATTTGCAATGATTTCGGGGATCGATTCTCCAGTGAAATTTTGTTGAACAGATGAAACCATGTTTGCTTTTTTTCTATGGAAAAACTAGTTTGATAATCGTGCTTGTTGAAAATTCGTCCTTCCATCAGGAATGGAGCAACAGAACACGTCTTATTGTAGTTTGGGGAGCTCCTAGCGTTCTTGCACCTTTCCATGGGGTAGGGGTTCAGTACCTTAAATTGCGGGTGGGGGAGGGTCTACGAATGTTTGCGGGGAGAGGGGGGAGGGGACTGAATAGTGTTGTAGTTAAAATGTCTCTGACTGGAGGCAGTGCATACTTATGATAAGGATGATTATGATAATGATGATTATGATAATGATGATTATGATAATGATGATTATGATAATGATGATTATGATAATGATGATTATGGTAATTATGATAATGATGATTATGATAATGATGATTATGATAATGGTGATTATGATCATGATGATTATGATAACGATGATTATGATAATAATGATTATGATCATGATTATTATGATAATGATGATTATGATAATGATGATTATGATTATGATGATTATGATAATAGTGATTATGATAATGATGATTATGATAATGATGATTATGATAATGATGATTATGAATATGATGATTATGATAATGGTGATTATGATAAGAATGATGATGATGCAAATGTGGATAATGATAAAGATGTTGGTGATGACAATGATTACACTGACCAGTATCTTGTCTGTGTAGCCCTCCTCCCTGTGGTTAAACACCTGGTCAGCTCCCAACTTCTTGACCAGCTCCAGCCCCTTCTCACTGCCGGCAGTCCCCAACACTCTCTGTCCATTAGCTACAGCGATCTGGATGGCTGCGGTTCCAACCTGTTGTACGTTGTGATAGGAGGATATACTCGTAAGTAGGCTATCATTGATATGCATTATCTGATAGCAAAAAGTGGTCACTAATGTGTACACATTATCTAATAGCACAAAGTGATCATTAATGTGTACACATTATATTAAAACACAAAGTGGTCATTAATGTGTGCACATTATCTAATAGCAAAAAGTGATCATTAATGTGTACACGTTATCCTAAAGAACAAAGTGGTCACTAATGTGTACACATTATCTAATAGCACAAAGTGAACATTAATGTGTACACATTATCTTAAAACACAAAGTGGTCATTAATGTGTACACATTATCTAATAGCAAAAAGTGATCATTAATGTGTACACGTTATCCTAAAGAACAAAGTGGTCACTAATGTGTACACATTATCTAATAGCACAAAGCGATCAAAGAAAATCAGATTTCTATTCTGTATAGAACGTTGAAGGTCAGTCTCAATCCTTTTTGGCTGTTTGTGGTTTTACAGGTCACTTTTAAGTTCAGTAGTTTGTCCTTGTTAGCAATGCGGGTGGGAAGAGGGGTGGGCGTAAAACAAAGCAGCATGTTGTCACACTGGCTATTGCTGAGTGCATCTGGGATGTCACAATGATTACTCTGCGTTTACAAACAATAGGTCATAGATGTTGACAGCCATGGATGCAGCAAATTTTGTTAGGGTCAATATTTTTTTCCTAGCCGGAAACGAAAACTACAATAGATAAATTATGTGTGAGAATCCTAATGGGTGGTATCCATTACTAATTTCAATGAATGCTCAAACAAACTGAGTAAAGATATCAAATTGAGGCAAATGTGCAGTCTGGCTGAAGCGTGCCAAATGAGGAATGTGTGAAATTGTGAGTAGAGCTTTCTAGTTCATGAGAAGAAGAATAGATGTTTTAAGCGTTGAGCAAATGAAAAAGCTCAGTGCTGTTTTCGATCCAGTGAGAGTCTAGTCTTGAGGCGCATGCAATGTCTAAAGTGAACGTATCTAAAGATCGAGTGATTGTAATCAAGCTACCGGTCTGATTCACTAGGAAACGTGACTATTGCTCCATGACAACTTGAAATGGAGGACAGATCGTCGGCTGAGCTGTGTGGTTTGTGAATGCTGTTTTTGATAGTGTTGAAGCGCAAGCGTGAGATGTGCTGAGCGTGAGATATTTATCCATGTAACGATAGCGAGAAGAATGTACTTTGAAGTAGCTGCCACTCTAGACATCAAATCTCTGGCTCATTGACCGAGAGGGTTTTCGTTGGAGCAATAAACATAAAGAGGTAAGAAATTTAGAGTTGTTGACATTTGTTCGTGATCAAGCTTGCCGTGTTGAAGTATCTGTCAATGTGAACGAGCAGGCAGCATGATTAGAGCACAGAGATTTATTACAGGTAAAAAAAAAATTTAAGAACATCTGTTATTAGCAACACTGATGATGATGATGATGATTACGCAAATAACTAGTTCGTCAGCAGAAACAGATTGTTTACACAATCCCATCAGTCATGAACAGGTGTACAGACATGAGGTAGCCATGGTTACATCACTGGTTGAGAGAGTCACTGATATGGGTATAAAAAATTTACTAATAAGCCAATGCCTTACCGCTCCACTTGCTCCATGGATAAGGACCGTCTCCCCAGGTCTGGCGCGGCCACTGCATCAGGTCATCGGCGTGGAGGTATGTGAGAGATTGAAAGAGTACATTAGCATACAATGTAGAGAAAATAGTTAGATTCGCGATAATCTCCCCACGCTACTTACTAGCTCACTTCTGACTGGTCGACCTCCAGTCAACTGACCTTCGCACACTGCTAGGCAGGTGTTTGGCGACGCGTTGATATCGCGTATTGTATATTTAAGCAAGCCAGCGCTTGTAACACTACACAAATATTTAGATACTGCGTCTAACCCACATTGCCCATAAAGAGTGCTGTAACTTATTTCACAGACTATCTTACGGAGAGGACGTGCTTTTTCATAGCTCTTACTATTTGGATTTTTTACTTAAAATGTGTCTATAAACTAGCGTTGTTTTTACTATCGTTGTGATCGTTATTCCGTTGGACGTGCGGTGAAATATTGTTTCACGCAATTAGATGTCATGATTGCATGCTAATATGGTTTTTGTTGCATTGTCAAACATATTCTGAGCGGAAATGTGCCGATGATACAGACACATGAACCACGGATGCGAAGGTCAGTGAGCGTTTAATCTGCGACACTGAGATTTATCACCACCCAGAACACTGGCTAGCCGAGAGACGTCCCGCAAGTAGCATACTATTAAAAACGGAACATGTGGGACAACGATGGGACTGAACATTTTCAAAAGATAGTAGTGCTAGGGAAAAGAAGAGAAAGAAAAATGCTAGAGCTGGACTCACACACTGAACTAGAGGCATCCGGGCCATCCCATTCTCTGGGGTTACTACGTAAAACTTTAAATTTCCAGCGGCCTGTAAAGGCGACTTGCCCGCTACTATCTGTTTGAGAGAGAGAGAGGACACTAAATCTTACACCAGTGTAACGGGGAACATGAAACTGATTGAGGGACGCTGCACTAGGCCATCAACCAATAAACGCCCTGTTCCCTTGGACACCTAGACGCCATTTAAAGGGGCGAATGAAAGAAGAAATAATTACAGACACTAGAAGTTCTCTTTTTATAAATATTTCACCTTTTTTCGAAATGAAATCTTATCAGACTACACAAGATACACCTGAGATCATGACATTCTCTAGACACCCAACTTACCTGCAGGATTCAAGTTAACGCGCCTCTACTCTGCTACAACAGTTAGGGACAATTAATAATGGTAACATAAAGCGGGTAGAAGGCCCCGCGACGTCACAGTAAGCCAGTTACCAGGTACTATCTGTGACCACATGGCTACCTAGAAATGAACGCAGAGACACAGCACTTAGATTTTCTGTTCTCCATAGCCTTAGTCAGACGGCATATAGTCAGTCTTGACAGATGCACACATAAACTGTATGGCTGGCAACAAGCACGTTTGGATATCGAAACCGAAGACTCAATGAACGCTATACTTTGCTGTAATTAGTTACGCGGTGATCTCTCTCTCTCTCTCTCTCTCTCTCTCTCTCTCTCTCTCTATATATATATATATATATATATATATATATATATATATATATATATATATATATATATATATATCCATCTCTCTCTTTCTGTCTACGCCGATCTATGTATGTATAGGCTAGGTTGTTAATGATTATTATTAGTCATCGCTATTGTATTAATGTTGTTAGAACTTAGAAAATATGAATGCAACCCCTGGTGGCTTGGAGAATACATTGTTCAAGCGATGTGTCCCTGTCACAAAGTATGCATTTCTTTCTGAAACTGTCCCGTGGGTGCAGCTTTCTACGGCAGCTCTCTATTTCAGTCAACTTTCTGTCATCGCAGGGACTTATCTTATCTGACTGAGCCAATTGAATTCACTGTCCTTATCTTGGGGCCTGTCATACCGACCTATTGTGCATAGGGAATCCCCTGTCTGTCTCAAATATTTGTTGTCATTCAGCCTGATTCTCTCTCTCTCTCTCTCTCTCTCTCTCTCTCTCTCTCTCTCTCTCTCTCTCTCTCTCTCTCTCTCTCTCTTCCGATATATATATATATAGACATGTGTGCTGCACCGGCAAACGGGTGGGTGGCAGGTAATGAGCGTATGTATATGTTTATATATATATGTGTGTGTGTGTGTGTGTGTGTGTGTGTGTTTTCTTTAACTACTGCGAGTTTGAGAATGCAAGCTGAATTTTAGTAATACAGTGAGATAGTATTTTGGCTACGGGACACCAGTAGCACACATGTATCTTCGTGTAGGGAGTCGGCAGGCCAAAACCCAAGTACAAGGTGTCTCCTTCGTTCCAAAGAACTGCATGGCTGTTGGGTGAACAGTCGTTAATGAAGGCAGTCAGGTCGTTGTAGCGGCGACGCTTGCTGGTGTATGTAATGTCCAGTCCCTTTCCCAGCTAATAGTGAGGGTACTGCAGGGGTGACCATTTATTAACCCTCACAAAATGCTTTAGGTCAAAATGGGCGCTAGACACAGCCACTTTTTTTTTAGCTATGGCAAATTTGTTTGTTTCTGCCTGACGGGGGCCGTTGCATTTTTGCTCCATTTGTAGACTGGAGGATATAGTTTCGTTGCCCAGCTTTTGAATTTAATGCATGGTGTGACACTGTGAGCTGCGGATTTCATTTGCAATGTTATTCGACTGTGACTAACGTGGTCGTATGAATTGTAGATGCCGGTTGTCGCAATATTGGTGGCCCCATTAGGTGATTAAAATTGATCGCGTGTGCAACTGCTGATCTGTTGGTGACTTCTGCTAGTCACTAGTGCTACCCATAATTTCTAATGTCGGATTGTTTGTGTTAGCACTTCGGATGGCTACGTATGCTTTTAATACGTGTGTATGCTAGTGCATTTGCTGAGACAGCAGTCTTTCAAACTTTCCACAAGGGACTGTGATAAACATTCTGTGTGTTTTTCGCTGGCACAGGAGCAGAGCATCTATGGTGTGAATAAGATTACCAGATTACCAAACAGGAATTCTCTTTCTCTGAAGAAAACGTAAATGCAAGACAAGCCAGAAAGGACAACATAACCGTAACCTCCCGTACAGCAGACGAGTCTGAACAGTGTATCAATAGAACGCCACCTAGTTCGGCAGGAGAGATTATCGTAGATCGCACCGAGAAAAGCACTATGGTGAACAATCAATCGGCTGTCAGGTGTTGGTTGTTCGTTGTATCCTATGGAACTCATAACCACCCAAGTACAATATATCGGTATGCGGGTCACGTGAGCGCTGACAAGGGTTAGTATTTAAAAAGGCGAAGTTGACAGACTGTAACATTTTATTGACGACTGCGGCAAGTATCCTGCAGTCCATCAAAGATTTCTGGCTGAGAAAACTTGTGCATGCCAGATTTCAATACAAAAAAACCTGGCCATAAACGGACATGTCTATCTGGAAGATAGATGTGAACCTTGGCTAGTGGTAAAGAGATTGACACTTAACTACCAAACACAGAATATCTGCCTACCAAACACGACATTAGTCTAACAGAGACACGATACCGCCGAACAAACATGTGACCCCCGCCTAACAAACATATGACACCGTCAAACAAACATATGGCACTGAGTAACAAACATATGACAACCGCCTACCTTATGCATGCCCGTCTCCTAATAAAAACTCGTCTACCTAAAACCTAATACCCACAACCTAATACACCACATCCGCCTATCAAATATGTGACACCAGCCTACCAAACATATGACACCCGCCTACCAAATATATGACACCCGCCTACCAAATATATGACACCCGCCTACCGAACAATATGACACCCGCCTACCAAATATATGACACCTTTCTACCAAATATATGACACCAGCCTACCAAATATATGACACCCGCCTACCAAATATATGACACCCGCCTACCAAATATATGACACCCGCCTACCAAATATATGACACCCGCCTACCGAATAAATGACACCCGTCTACCAAATATATGACACCCGCCTACCAAATATATGACACCCGCCTACCAAATATATGACACCTTTCTACCAAATATATGACACCCGCCTACCAAATATATGACACCAGCCTACCAAATATATGACACCCGCCTACCAAATATATGACACCAGTCTACCAAATATATGACACCTGCCTACCAAATATATGACACCCGCCTACCGAATAAATGACACTACCGACACCCTACCAAATATATGACACCCCGCCTAAAAAATATATGACACCTGCCTACTAAATATATGACAATATATGACACCAGCCTACTAAATATATGACACCAGTCTACCAAATATATGACACCCGCCTACCAAATATATGACACCTTTCTACCAAATATATGACACCCGCCTACTAAATATATGACACCTTTCTACCAAATATATGACACCCGCCTACTAAATATATGACACCCGCCTACCAAATATATGACACCCGCCTACCAAATATATGACACCCGCCTACAAAATATATGACACCCGCCTACCAAATATATGACACCCGCCTACTTAACATACATCACACCCGCCTACCAAATTTATGACTCCTGCCTACTAAATATATGACAATTGCCAACCAAATATATGACACGCGCCTACCAAGTATATAACATCCACCTACCAAACATTTGACACCCGCCTACCAAATATATGACACCCGCCTACCAAATATATGACACCCGCCTACCCAATATATGACACCCGCCAACCTAACATACGCCACATGACTACCCAACATATGACAATGAGTTCCACTATAATATCCCCACGTTACACATTACCTTGTATCTGATTGGTCGACCTTCTGTCAACCGACCTTCGCACACTGCCCTGGATTACGTTGATATCCGTGTCATATATTTAAGCACGCCAACGCTTTTAACACTATTAAAAACATTTACAAACTGCGTCTAACAAAAAACTCCCCTAAAGAGTTTTGCAACTTATGTCACCGCCTTCTCTGTTTTGGAAGAAAAACGTAGTGATTTGATTTGATTAGATTTGATTCAAGAACCGACATCACAATTCCCCCACAAGCGTATACATGCATACACAAGATGTGA